AGCAAGCTGTTGGGTTTGACGGTGAGGCCTCCAGAGCTTAATGAGCTGAGTAGTTGTGGAGAAATTCCATCCTGATTTCATCCTGTTTCATCAGCACCCCCGTGCCAGCCCCTGGCTGCACGTGCACTCCCACAGGGCCAGTCCTCATGTGTCCCTGTGCAACACAACCGAGTTTGTACAGAAGAAACCACGAGAGTGTGAACTTCAACAAATATTCAGTCCTATATTAAAGCTACATGGTTGTTGGCGCTAAGAAAAAATGAGTAAAAACCACCCCAACAACAGTAATTCGGGGCAAAACAGTTTCAAAGTAGGTACAAAACCTTTCCAGGTGTCCTAAGGCAGGATTGAGAGGCTTGTGAGTTGGGTGTGCAGAGCTCACAGACTGCTGTGCTAATGGGAAACAGCTTAGGTTTCAAGGTTTACTAAGTCAGCATTAAGCGTATTTGGAAAGAAAACATGAAAAAGGGGCTGTTAGCTAAAAGTTGGGTGATAAGTAGGTCCCTGTTACAAGAAAGTAAACATTTTGCAAGACCAGAGTGGCTCCTATTATTTCTGTAGGATAATCTGTTGAAGCTGCTCTGTTTCTAGGGAATAGATGGCAGAAAGGAGTACAGAATAGGTACAGAAGGGTGAACTGCCTCTTTGTGTGAGACTGTGAAGCAGCAAAGTACACGAGACACCTCCCATGTGCAATTAGTGAACAAATGATTGCAGTTGTGTTTGCCAAAATGTGGAGAAGGCTGGTACCTGGTGCCTTACAGAATGAGTGCTGCCTGGGGCTTCCCCCTCACTCATCCATTTGCTCTAAATAACATGTGCTTCCCTGTGTTAAAACCTCTTCCTTCTACCCAGTATGTGAAGCATCTCTGGATTGAAAACACTGCAAAATCTCTAATTAGGCTTTTGCATCAGGAAGAGAAGTGCACTTTTGAATGCTTATTTTGCCTGGGCAATGCCATGAGCAGGATCCTGCTGTGTTCTGGAGGCCAGGTTGGAGCTGAAAGCTGGGCAGTGTGTGAGGAGAAATAGATGACAGGGTCACCCCTGCCCCCATCTTCTGGGTAATGCACAGATCAGACTGACAGCAGCAGCAGCTCCCTGCACGTTACTCTGTAACACACAGCTAGAATCCCTAACTTCAGGCACCCGAGATCAGTCTGCATTAGTTACTCTTTTACTCCTGGCCAGCATTCCTCCCCCAGCGATGTTAGCAGTTCAGGTTCCACGGCAAACCTCAGCACTTCTCCACAGCTTGTGTAAGAAACCCACAGGAGGTTAAAAATGTTGGGAGAAATTGGTGTATTAGAAGGGTAAATATGTACAATTGCCTTGTTAGATGAGCTGTATTCCAATATTAATTTTTTATGAGACTGATATTATAATTAGCCAGTCTCAAAATAAAAGCAATTCTAGATGTTGAAGTTCTTCAAAATTCAGCAGCTTGTTTGGGTCACTTTTTTTTTCTTTTTCTATCACCATATTCAAGGTTTATCTGGTATCTAAAGCACAGAAGAGTTGGGGATTTGACATTTCCCTTTGTCCCTGACTTTTATTTCATGGCCATCTTGCTTTTAAAATGGAAATAAATCTGACTGTGAAGAAATACCTCTCAGAGAGAAATACGTCCCCGTTAGTTCAGTCTGTAGGTGGCTCACAGGATTGCAGAAAGAGGAAAGAAATGTGCCCTGTTTATGAAGATGTTGAAGTCTGTAAGGTATCTTGTGATGGTTAGCCCTGTATCACTGAGAGCTGCTAATTTTTTTTGTTTTATTGGATTCCAAGTTGGTTTTAAACAAAATCTGATCAACAGTAATTTTGGTTTTGGGTTTCCCCTGCTCCTCACTGCCTCATGACCTTCAAGGTTGAGAAAGTGAATATTTGGCCAAAGTCTTACCAACCATCCACATGCTGTTAGGAATGTGGCCTTCCTTCCTTTCTTCTCTATTGGCAGGTAAATACTTTATCCTTTTCTTAACATGGCAGGATAGCATAACCAGGAGGATACGTGTTCTAGAAACAAGTGTAGCTGCTGCTAGTAGAAGCCATTCTGAAATGTTAAGTCACAACAGTAGATAGAGCCCATCTTATGATTCAGACAGCACGAGGAAAGGCTGAGAAGGGCTGTGCACCCTCAAAAAAGCAGGTAGGGCAATATGCAACTTCTATGCCAAAATGTAAGTTTTGAAATAATCTAGAAAACAGTGGAATAAAGAAGCCTAAATTCTTCCAGGAATGGCACAGCAAAGAGAGAGCATCTGTGTTTGATTCTGTCCTGCTTTACCGAACTGAGGGATACAGAATCTGTCATGCAGTCGTGGACTGAGAGACAGTAACAGCAGATGGATCACCTTGGCTATGTGATAGTTGCCTTGTCCTTGCTTGCAGTGATAGCCTTGTGGTGCAAGAATAGAATGTTCCCATCTATCGATCCAGCAGATGTTCAGGCATGTCCTCCACTTGATTAGCCTTCAGAATGCTATTCTGTTTTCTCCCACATCCATAAATTACTTACTCCTTGGAAAAAAAAACAGGAAAATGTGACTTCTGTTCTTAATCAGTTATGTAAACACTAGACCCAGCCATGCTAAGTATTTTATTAAATAAACATGATATCAGGCTGCTGAAAATCTGCTGGGGCTGAAAGTATGGGCTAGTGGTAGAGCTGGGGGCAGTCAGGCTGGTGTGGTGTGTGCTCAGAGTGAGCCTGTGCAATTCATGTCTCTGGGAGCCATT